CCCTTCACAGCCCACCTGCTCCTGCCTGGCTCTCCTTCGTGGTGTTCTCTTGGACCCAGATGCTGGGCCTTTTAGGAGAGACCCAAGTGATCCAACAGGCTGCAAAGAAGGTGATTTGCGGAGATACCTATCTCCCAAGCATGAGGCCCCTCCCTCGGGCTGCGATTACAATGCACTTTCAACACTGGCAGTTACTGTGGTTTGTTTGTTGTTTTGTTGGAGACAGGGTCTCCTGTAACCCAGGCGTAAACTCCCGATTGTCTTTCTTCCAACTCGTAGTGGCTGGGATTCCATGCATCTGCCGCCACAGCTGGTGAATGATCGGTGGATTTTAATAAGAAGTTACTTGGCAGAAGAGAACACGGGTACAAGGAGTGGAAAAAAAATATAGAAGGAAAGGTTGACAGGAAATAGATTTGTAATGAAGCTGGGATGTACCATCTCAGTGACAGGTGAAGGAAAACATCCTTTCCCAGGGACTCCTTAAACCCACAGGATGGTATGTGGAACTGTCTTGCCCTTTTTTTACCCAGGCTGACCACAGTCTGGGAGGCTTAGGATGGAAAGATGTGAGCACCAGTACAGAAAGAAAGGTACTAAGTTCTCAGAGACCCTCCCAGCATATACAAAGAACCAGGAAGTACTGAGGAGGGGGAGGGGAGTCCTGCAATCATTGACTCCCAGACATTTGGAAGATATCCTACTGGCTAAAAGTCCTGTTTTACCTCAGGGACCAAGTGGTGCACTGGTCCCCGTCACAGAGGCACATCTAGGGTTACTAAGCGACCTTTCACTACAAGATTAAAGTTGGGCTGGTGGTTAAGAGAGCAGTTTCATCCTAAGGGTACTCAGTCTGACTTGGGTAGTCTCTTGAGTTTAGAAGGAAAAAAAAAAAAACCCACGTGTCCATTAAGAAGCTCATTTCCCATGATTCCAAAATCGAGGTGGTCCAACCTGTTGCTCATTGTTCAAGGCTCTGGTTGTGGCTTTGTGTGGGTTCCTTGATGAGTCACTGGTGGCCGCATGGTTGAGCTATCTGGGTGAGTGGAAAGGTTCAGGGTGGGCCATATAAGCCCAGGTTCCGGGCAGCTTGGGAGATCCTGGGAGGTTTCCTCTGGGGAAAGGGATAGTAAACTGGCTTTCCAGACCTGTGTGGGTTCTTTGTGGAGGAGACACACTGAGCACTAGAGCCTGCTGCCTGTAGTGGGGCACAGCCCTCCTGACTTTGACACTGGACTCCCTCTGGGATTTTGATTTCGTGCTGTGTCTTCTGATTGTTTTTCAAAACATCAGTGTCTCCCTCTGGAGAGAACCTTGATTCTGGCTCCACAAGGTGTCCCTTGGGGTTCCCTTGGTGATCAGCTTCCAGATGGAAGGTTTGAACCAAGCGGTGCAGCTCTAAGTAAGTGTGCCATGGAGTTTCGGGAGCCTGGTGGCAGCTTCTGTCCACGTCCTCCAACATCCCCTCAGCCTCAGAGTCAGTCTCCTCTGGCGACAATGAGCTCCTTCTCTCCTTGTTAATCCAAACAGCACTGGTCATCGATTCAGCTGGAGTAGGCATGGTCCCTTCTAAGAGAAGAAGGCACAGCAGGGTAATCATTGGGAGGTTTTTGGGTGGCTCCCTTTGAGGAAAGCTCATAGATTTCACATTAAAGGAAGGCCAGACCCTGAATGCCAAGGGGGCCAGATACCCAGGACATATGTGAACCCACACATGCAAACATGCATGACCTAGCACATGCACTCTTCCACAACATAACTCAATAAATATTTACCAAACACTATATACAAGGCCTTGCTTATTTGAGGTTCCACTATATAGCAATGAGAATACTCACAACCTTATGAATGGGTCTGAATAGAGGAGAAAGGCAGCAAGCAAATAAATACATTAAAAATCCAGGTGCTAACTGGAACATGTGCAGAGAGTGAGAGATTTTGTCACTCATTCTTACATGGGATGTCTTCCTCTCAGAGCTGTTTGGAAGAGGAGTCGGAAAGATTGTAAAAGCTGGAGGAGACGGATGATTCCAAGGAGTTAGCACCCTCCAGACAACAGGGCTGATGCACACGTGAGCTACAGAGATGGTGGCAGCATGCACAGGGCCTGCACAGCTTCAAGTTGGACAGGGTCTCACTGAAAGAGGGGTAGACATGGGCATCCACTCCTAACCAAGAAGCTATCTGCAACTGGTATACACGTGCATAGGAAATCTTAGCCTTTTCCAGTGAAGTCTTATTGGGTATATTAATCACACTTCAGGGCAGGCCCCAGCCCCACAGTAGATCACCAACACAAAGGACCAATGGTAATTATGTAGACTTTTGTCTCATATTGCTTTGTTTGGGCTTTTTGATGTTGTTGCTGCTGCTGTTATTTTTGTTTGTTTGTTTGTTTGGCCTTACTGTTTTTTTTTTTTTGCTTATATATTTTAGTGTCCACTTTTGTGTTTTTGTGAATTTTTCGTTGTATGTGTTTTCTTGTTTGTGTTTTAAAGAGAGAAAGAAAGGGCTTGGAGTTGAGGGAGAGGAAAAACATGATCAGAATATATTGTATGAAAATATTTTTTTCGATAAAAAAACTGAATTCAGCTGCTAACCAGTTTTATGGAAAAGCTAAAGTATAAATGGAGGTCAAAAACTTCAGTGAGGGGACTGGAGAGATGACTTAGTTGCTAAGAGCACTGGCTGTTCTTCCAAGGACCTGGGTTCGATTCCCAGCACCCACGTGGCAGTTCACAACTCTCTTCACTCCAGTTCCAGGTAATCTGACTCCCTCACACAGACATACATATAGGCAAAACAACAATGTACATAAAATAAAATAAACTTTTTTTTTAAAAAAGTACTTCGGTTCTAGGAGATTCTTAGTGTCATCTCTATAAAAAACAAAACTAAACAAACTTTAGTGAGAGTGTGTGAACTCTGTCTCGGAAGAAGTGAGAGTTAGTATCTAAGAATGGCAAGGATTGCCAGGAGGTGACAGCACACACCTTAGATCCCACAGCACTGGGAAAACAGAAGCAGGCAGATCTCTATGAGTTAGAAGCAGCCTGGCCTATAGACAGCTAAGTTCCAGGACAGCCAGAGCTACACAAATAAACCTTGTCTCCAAAAGCCAAAAAAGAAAGGAAGAAAGAAAGAAAGAAAGAAAAGAAGGAAAAGAAGGAAAAGGAAAGAAAGAAAGAAAAAGAATGGCAAGGATATACAAACAAATACACCAAATATACATGCACACACACACAATACACACACACACACACAAACACTGCTGTGATTTAGATCTTAAATATCCCAAAAGTTCTCTGCTAAAGGCTTAGTTTCAGGATTAGGGTGAGCATCTTTAGGAGATTGAGAATGTTTGGTGGGTGCCTACTTCAAAGGAAGTTGTTTCACAGGGACAAGCTGTCCAATAGGATATCGGGATACCAGCATCTTCTATTTTTTGTTTCCTGGCCACCAGGAGGAGACACCATCTGCCACCACATGCTCCTACCAAGATGGATGTGTTGACAAAGTTCCAAAATAACAGGTTCAAGTGACCCTAAAACCAAACCCCTGAGACCATCAGCCAGAATAAACCTTTCCTCCTTTTAAGTTAATTCATCTGATACTTTGTCTCATGATGTAAAGCTAACATACTCCCCTCTGAATGTTGTCCTTAGCTTAGAAGGGTTTGTGATCTAGGCTTCCAATAATGGTTTTATCACCTAAGACAGAGGAGAGAATCCATGGTCACTTTACTGAGATGTTTCCAGCGTCTCTTTCTTCTCTGAACGGGCTCCTAAGCTGGGGATGCAGACAGATGAGTCTTCCTTCTCAAGGATTTTTTTTTTCACTTTGTGGAATGTGATAGTTCATCAGGAACTGTTTGCCTATGGAAATCAGATCCATGCTAAGCCTGGAGTCCTGACCTGGCACTGGTTAGTACCCTCATTGCTAACAAAGTAGAGTGGGGGATGGTACTAGAGGAATGATGTCATCAGGAAGCCCCTCTGAGTCCCAGCTTGATAAATCCAAAAGAATCAGAAGAACTAGAAGAAGAGATGCAGCCAGTTCTGCACACAGGTGCAGCCAGTCCTGCACACAGGTGCAGCCAGTCCTG